ATGCTTTCTGAAGTCAGTGGAAATATTGTTTATGGCATAGGTTATTGGCTAATCTAAAGTTTTTTGAACAGTTAGATGATGATATGACGTTAGAAGAGGATTTCTTGACCACTTTGAGGATATCTGAGCCCCTTAGTGTTAAATAAGGCCTAATTTATTTTTGCTAATTTTACTTCTTCTATGTATTTCATTTACTATAAGTGCCATGTCAAACCACAGAATTCTGTTTAGTTGTGCTAGTGTTACAGCATCATTCAGTCACATCTGAAGATGAGTCTCTATCACTTTTTCTATGTGTGACATAGGTTACTTCTATTTTTGGATCCTGTTTACTGTGTCAGACTCCAAAAGTCTTAGTTGTCATTCTTCTGTGGCAGGTATCCCTTTAATGATTCACAGTTTTAAATTTAAATTGTTAGAGAAGCAGTGTAAGTAAAGCATTAGAAACATGGCATCACAACGCAACAGTTAGCATGTGATCATAGCAGTCCTGATGATACATACCTAAGGTGTTTAACAAGTTAATTTTACTCACAGTATACAAATTTGTCAGTGCTGTATTCTTTTCTTTGCTTACCTGCAGCAATCAGAACAAGACTGGGTGAGCATTCCACATGGGAGAAGTGACTATGCACAGAGCACTCCATGCTGGAACGAAGGATCTACAGTCTTTTTATGGCCCAGGTTCTAGGCTTTGTGTACTGAAGTGAAGAAGTGTTGCAACACCATGGGCCTGAATATTTAACAATAGCTCTCTCCTGCTAACTTTCTTGCTGAATCAGTGTGTAATTATAAATACATGTATTGATAACATGTATATGGCTCTATTTTTATTTGCTTGCTTTAGAAGAAGAAAAGCGCATACAGCTTTGAATCACCAACATGGGCTACTGTGTTAATTTTAAACAAGTTGTAGAATTTCATTGTCAACCTTCCTAAGATACTTGCGCAGTTTTTGTGCATGTGTAAAAAGCACAAGAGACAAATGCACATATAGCATACTGTATGTGCTTTATATGCACAAAAATCTGTGTGATATTTTGGGGTTGTTGAAAGGAGTGGCTTCAGTAAAACCTTGGTAACTTGTTGGCAGGTTTTATTTTGCTTTGTATAATCACAGTTCATTGCTGCTGGTTTCTATAATGAATCATCTTGTTACATAAAATGCCAGTTAATATCTGAGGGCTGTCAATATCCTTATGACTTTGCCTTTTCTATTGTCTTACTCTTATGAAGATCTTTAGTTCTGAAGGAGTAAGAGTGTGAAAAGCTTTATTTTTTCCAGATATCTTTATATTTCTATTGTATTTTTTAGTTATGTAATATGTGCTGCATAATTTTTGTTATTAAACATGATCCAGAAATACCTAGAAAGATTCTGTATGAGAGGGCAAGAGACTGCCTAAAATCTGGGAGACATCTGTCCATGCTATCTGTGGACTGCTTTCTTGGATGATATCTGGGGCTTTCCCAAAGCTGTGAGAAGGTACAGTATAATATTTATTGAAGTAATTTGGATTACATAAAACAACATTCCCAGTCTAGATTGAGGATGAGTACATTATTTTCAGATCCTGCATGTGTTTTCCTCATCTCAATGAAGCTGTGCTATGAGGTTCATGTAGAAAATTATCTGCCTCTTGATCAAAAACCCATCAGAGCTATAAGAATGCATAGTTCTTGCTGGAAAGTTCCCTTTAGCTGCTGTGAAAATTTAAATGTCAGATGTTTGCCTGCCTTTGATTCTGGAGATACTTGTTAAGAGAGGACTGTGTTGGGCTAGTACTGACTGTGAGGTCTTTTATCCATGTCTTATAGTTGGAAACTCTTCAGAGACTGCTCGGTGTTTCACTAAACTGGGTATCTTGAGGAAAAAAGTTTCAGATATATTTTCTTTAAAAGAAAGCTGAAAGTCAGATTTATTTGATATAGTGTGCTAGGTGCCTGAAAAGAGATATAATACAGTAACTTAGTGAAGATTTGGTTAAATGAGTAAATATGATCTGCACAGTGTTGAAAAATGTCTCTGTTCATCTTCTCTGTAGAGATGAAACCATATCTAACACATGATTACACACGCATGCAGATTTCATGCTCCATAACTCCTCCCTTTTTATTTGCCTTTCTCTAATGGTGTGCATGGAATATGCCTTATTACAGAGTTATTCTGTTCATTTGAATATGTAGAAAAGTGCCTATATGGTAATGTTAGCAAGGCAAATAAGATGAAAATTTGTACATCTTTACTATATCACCAGTGAGCATTTTATATACCAATGTTAAAAAACAAAATCTTATACCTCAAAATGTACGTCATCTTTTTACAATCACCAAGCAGTGGTACATTCCACCATAGCCACTGATGGGAACTTTAAAAAAAAAAGTCCAAAATATAAAGAGTTTAACTCCTTATTTGCCATTTCTGGTAATTGTTGGAACACGGGCAAGTTTATTAATTTAATAGGATAGCTTTATTTTACAAAGGTATGGAAAGTTTACAAAGCAGTATATAAACTTATATCATTAGTTGCATTTGCACTAAATGTGATGTACTTTTGCGATTTATTCTGTAAATAAAATGACACTACAGATACTATTTGTAAAGAGTATGTTTTACTTTTAGATAAAGGCACTGGTACTTCACTGTAGCTAGCCCTGCCCAATCAGATTTGTAAGAGGCTTTTTAAAGACTATGGAAGGAGTTACGTGACTGAGAAATCATTATTAATGGACCTCTGGAAAAGTAATCTCAAAAGGCAGTAGGCCTCTCATATTGTCCTTTTGTGAGTAGCCATTAGATCCTTTCTTCTGGAAGGGATGTTGCTTTTATGGTTTTATACAATTTACCCTGTCTCTTGAGCCCATCTCTCTTGTCAGTCACTGCCATGTCTGTGCGCTCTGAGTTCATTTCCTCCTGTTAACAGATCAAGAGTGTTAACACAGCTGTGGTGGTCTTTGCAGAAGCAGCTTCTGACTCTAGAATGGTTGTTTTGTAAGCTAAACCAGTTCAAAAGGCTGAAAATGCAGCAATCATAGGATATTGTTCTCTGGATATCTGCATCTATTTGGAGAATTTGGATGTTGCCAAGCTAGATCTGAAGGACATGACTTGATAGAACTTGTACTGGGAATGAAGATGAGATGGTCATTGTTATTCTGTCTGAGAACCTGAAAATCTTTGACAAATTTATCTGTGAAAAATGTGATGCACTTTGTAAAAACCTTATCTTTTACTTAATTGGGCTGAGCTGGCTTATCTGAAGTTGTGCAGATTCTCTTTAATCAGATTGTCCACCTGTATTTTTGTCAAGTTGTACAGATAATGCTGTATTTGAATTGCCACTGTTCATTTACAGACTTAAAACATGAATCATATTTTTGAGTACCTTGAGTGTGTAGAGTTGTAACTGTTCTATAATAGCTTTATGATCCTAATGATAAGTTTTAAAAATTAAAAGAAGTTGGCTCTTACATGTTACAATCACAAATTTAAAACCAGTATTTAAAATTTAAAAAGTATTAAAAATTATGAAGAAAAATCTTGGCTTCTTGTTGTTTTTAACTTCCCAATATTTGGAGAAACCTTACCTTTTAAACAACTTTTAAATCATGAATGAAATTATATACAATATTCTAGTGCATGGAAAACATTTAACAGGAAAGCAGTTTACTTGTGTTACTGACATCACTGAGATGAAAACATGAATGCCACATTAGTTTACACATTGAGAAGTTCATTTTGTGCAAGCAATCAGAGGGGTGTTACAAGGTGCTCCTGGTAGAGTGTAGTTATAATGCAGAGCACTTCCAGAGTATGTCAGCTCTTCATTTGTAAGGAATAATACGATTCTGGGAGCTTGCATGGGAAGAGCAGCAACCCAGGACTAAGATGGGCTAAAGCATAAAGTTACGGCTTTTCCAAAGAAAGAGTAATTTTTAGTAACTGAGATAAGCTTCCATGAGCAATTTTTCTTAACAGTAGAAGTAAGTGGTCCCTAATAGATCAATAGCAATCCTACCTTTATTTGTTGCAGTGATTTCTACTTCTTTATATAGCAATCAGGAAAATTAGAAGAATTCTTACAGGTATGCAGGACTAGAGGAACAGTTTGAAGTAACAGAAGGCATTACCTGAACAGAATCAAAACTTAAGCGCAGCTGTATCAGGTTTCTTGTAATATATTGCAAAACACAGAGTCCTGAGGTAACCTCTCACCTTGGAGAATGCAGCTATTTTACCTGGCAAAAAGAAATCCTGCCCCTGCCCCCCCCCCCCCCCCCCCCAAAGGTCGCATTTCACATTCATGGTACCGTAACTTACGTGCATAATTTAAAAATTGGATACTTTTCAGTAAAGAGGTTGAGCATTTCTGTGTAACTGCAGTATCATTTGACTGTGGATGATGAATGATAATTAGGGCTATGACACACAATTTACTAGTGTGAATTACTAACACTAATCATCTTCTGTCTCCAGCTTTGACAAACTAAGTTTTATAGGAGGAGAAAAATACATTTTCTTAGAAGAAAGAGACACACTTTGAACATTGGCAACTTGAAAGTTTCCTCAGCTGTAGCCATTGATGCAGTAAGCTCTTCTCTCTGCACACCTGCCTCTTCTATGCATGGACTACCGTCAGATAAGGAAGCCTGATACTGAGGATTGCTGAAGTTTTCAGGGTTTAAACTCTCCTTAAAAATAAAAACTTTTTTAATATTTATTAATTTGAATCAATCAATAGTTAGAACTATTGTCATCCACAAGACTTCCTAAACTTTTGTGTGCCAGGAAATAAGCCACAGATTGTAAAGTTGTAGCCAGTGATTTTTAACTAGTGCAAAGAGTGGCAAAATATGACAACAGCCTTAACAATTCCCATTTGCTGGGATAAGACTGTCACTCAACTGTGGAACAGCCTAGGAAGCTCCTAGGAAGTTTTGCCCTGTATATGAGAGAATTCCAGCTTGGAGGCCCAGGATAGTGTGCTGTCTTGGTGAGGGTGAGCCATGCCCAAGTATGAGCAGAACCGCAGGTGTGTTTGTACCCTCCAGAAAATACCTGTAGTCAAGGTAATGAGCAGTGATGCTGGTGATGCCTCACTGCTGCCCTGTTGGAAATCACTGCTCTGTCTTCAGCCTGAGGGTGCTCAAGTACCACCCCAGTAATCAAGGCCTCCCCACGCCCCACATCGGAGCCTGCAGCACTGATCCAGTTGAAAATGTAGCTATTAAAAACCTTCCGAAGCTTCTTCTGAGAGTGGCCCCTGCCTTTAGTTGTTTCATAAAGCACTTGGGGTGCTGAAGGGTGGCAACGTTTCTGATGGAGCTTGGAACACTTTAACAATGGGTGAAATGGTTGACCTCTGCAAAGAACCTGAGAAATTTAAATTAGCTCCTTTATCTTTCCTGGCTTTTATTTGACTGAACTGTACCTGAAAACTCTCAAACTTAATTCAAAAAACACTGAATTATCATGACACTACTAGGGTAACTAACCATCCTGCTAAGAGAGGTGCTAAGCAAAATCATCAGTAATTCAAGTAACAGATGCTGATTTGTTTGTAATACATTTTTAATGAAAAACTGTGAATATTTTTTTTTTCTATAAAGCACTTAACATTTCAATATTTAATATAGCTGTCAGCTGTGAGAAATTCAGTAATAAAAAGTACCTGGTAATTTACTTTGTTATTAACTAAGACTGTCCTAACCAATTCCAGTGAAAATAATGGAACACTGTCGAAAGATGTGAAAACCACTTGCAAATGTTAATATTACTAGATTTTCTTCCAACTCTAACTTTGGTTACATCAGAAGAAAGAGTTTCCCTAACAAGTAGCTGTTCCTGTCATATAAAGTTTGGTGAAGAGGTGTACAGTTAGTTGCTCTTTTATATAGCAGTTTCTGTGTTAATGCCTGTGTGAAACAGCACCTCTTGCATTAAACTATATTAACTTCATCTATTACTGAAAAGAAAAAGTTTTGGATTACTAGGTAGGAGACACAAATTGTGCTCTAAAAATCTTAAGACAGTAGTTGGATCTGGGTACACAGAGGGATGAATTCCAGTAAGTCTTGACATTTTTAGTGTTAGGCAATAGGCTTTTTAAGTTATCTCCCATGCAAGAGAAGGAAACTGTCGGTATTAACATTTACTGATTTTTTTTGACAGTGCTAATTTAAAGTGTCCACTTTTGTTCAAATTCACAAGTGAAGGAAAAAAACACTCAGTAATTATAACTGCCAAAAGTGATATATAGTACTTTATTCCCTTCTCCCTGCTTTGATTTGCCCACAAAAAAACCTTTTAGAAAAACATCCTTTTCTGAAACACAAAAACAATGCCTTAATGGCCCAGATTTTCAATCACATTAGTCTTTTGGGGTCTATTTTCTCCAGGTGTACTAGAGGCTTCAGCTGCTCAGCAAAGTTCCTCATGTCATCAGAAACAATGTCCTGTCCTGCTGGCGCGACTACATTGAGCTCCACCAAGTAGGAGAGGGAGAGCGGCTCAATGCTCTCCGTGTTTCCTGGCATCAGTATGCGGAAGATCTTGTACACCACGATCTTCATGATGCCCTTGCGGAACACGTGCCCTTTGGCCACGAACTCGTGGTCCATGCGGAAACCCATCTCCACCAGGAAGTCCGTCAGGTTGTCGGACGTGGCGATGTCCACGCAGTTGCGCACCAGCGCGTGGCGGTTCTTGTCGCCGATTTCGGGCTGTCCCAGGTAGCGCAGGTGCCAGGGCATGCCGCTCTTGTCCATGGAGCGCCGGGCGCGCAGCACGAAGGGGCTGGCCTGCTGCCCCTTCAGCAGGAACACCATCTCGTGGTCCAGGAAGGTCTCGGGCTCCATGTTGTCGCACAGCCCGCGCAGGCGGTGCAGGAGGCTCTCCAGGCTCTGGTCCAGCACGCTCCCTGCGGAGACAGCGCCACCACCATCGCCTCCCCCACAGGCCGAGCTGCGCTCCTTCCGCAGCGCGCCCGTCCCAGCGCCCTCCGGCCCGCCCGCGCGCGGCGCCAGCACCGCACCCCCGCCTCCCCCGCTGCCCGCGCTGCTCGGTCCCGCAGTCGCCTACCTTGGAGCAGGTACTCCATCATGTTGATGGTGCCGCCCGTGACGGGCATCATGGTCACCGGCGGCGCCTCCATCATGCGCTCCGCACCGGCTCCGCGGCCTCGGCGGCAGCGGCGGGCAAGGCGGCAGCAGCGCCCCCTGGCGGCTCGGCGGGGCCGGCGGGGGCTGCGGGTGGGGCGGGGCCGGGGCTGGGGGCGGGGTCTGGAGCGCCCGGCCCCGCTCCCTCACACGGCCCGGGCGGGTTCCGGAAGCGAACACCGGCCAAGGACGGACCGGAACACGGCTTTTTCCGCCTCCCCTTGACCTGCCGGAGAACTTCCTTAGCCCCAGGGTGGCGGAGCGCTGGAACAGGCTACCGGGGAGGTTGTGGAGTGCCCCTCTCTGGAGCCATTCAAAACCCACCTGGATATGTTCCTGTATCACCTGCTCTGGGTGACCCTGCCTCAGCAGGGGTGTTGGACTGGATTATCTCCATAAGTCCCTTCCAACCCTAACGATTCTGTGATACTGTATTTCTGTCTTTTATTCTAGTTTGCTCAAAGCCAGGGGTCAGGAGGTAACTCACGAAAGGCTGGCTCTGTGATCATGAAACCTCTACACTATGTATACCTTTTAACAAACAAAGGCATAGGCATTTGTTGTCTGTAAGTTGTATGACTTTTCTCCTAATTAGTACTCAAACCCTATTTGCTAGTTGTATCTCTTGCTTCTCCAAGAGGAGCACCCTTTTAGGTTCTTCCAGGCATGGTTCTCCCTCCCCTTTGGATCGGGGTTTGGTGGTCAATGAGACAGGGGTCACGGTCATCCACTGCTGGAATTACCTTCCCTCACTTACTGCCCACTCCTGCTGACTTCACTCCTGGCAGCTCGCATCCAGAGAGTCCATTTATCTTGGCATTGTCTTCTCCTTTCCTCAAAACAAAAGACGCAATGTTCACAGTGCAATTGCTTAATTATAACTGTTAAGCTAGAGCTTCTGATTAACAACTGAAAAAAAAAAACAAACCATTGCAAATTTGGTTCAAATCTTGAGACCTCAAATCTTGAGGGGCCCAGTTCTCAAAGGGCTCACTGCCAGCCTCACCCTGATGCCTCTGGCTTTGGCTTTTATGTTTTTCAGATTCTGTGCTGCCTTAAGGCATCACGCCAGCACAGGGGGCACAGTGGAGGAGAATGGGAGGCCAGCAGTCAGGCCCAACCATCAGGGGTCATCCTGGCTGCACCCACACCTCTCCCCAGGGAGAGGTGGCACATGCAATAAATTCTGTGTAAATTCCCCACCAGAAATGTTCCAATCTGTCTCTTACAGCAACAGCAAAGGGGTTGATGCTCTTGGGAGTTGGGCACCAGGCATCAGCTCCTGCAGCAGTTTGGGTTAAAAACTGTTACCAGAGGTGCAACACATGATTCATTGGTTTGGAAAGGCAGAAATCTCATCTGGGCCTGGCAGGGTGTGCACCATTTCTAGGCAGAAAAGCTTCTGGTTTCAAAAAGTGATGAAAATGCCCAATATGTACCAGGTGAATTTGTACCTGTCAATACTCAAAATAGAGTTATAAATATGACTTTCTCTTAGCAGTTTTTTTTTTTTGTGTAGCAAACCTTTAGGCCACACAGAACGTGAACAGTATGTCTGTCTTACCTTTATCAGTATCTACACCGCTGTGGTATTCCCTGCCACCCCCCAGAAAAATTATATAAATTCTGGTACAAGCCAAAGACCTGCAAATGAGAAATGGCATAATTGTGCCCTCCCTGAGTAGTAATGGTTTGTGTCACCCCTGATGTACCAGAGGTAGTTTGGAGTACTGACCAGCAGGGGTGACCTGAGGGGTGCAGTGCAATCCATGAGGGGAATATTGACAAAGGAGGGAACCACAGCCCAGGGAGCTGCCATAGTGGATGCACATTGTACATACTCCCCAGATTGCAGATAAGAGGCTTGTGTTGAAATAAAGTAAGAAAATAGTCAACAAAAGGTTTGAGTAATTGTTTTAAAAGCATTCCTAAGCTTCAAGGACCAAAAAAACGTTTCCTCTTATATATGGATCAGCTTTACTTAGCTGATCATCATCATCATACAGTTAGCATGGAAAAAATATTGAGAAAGATAGCTAAGAAAAGTAAAGAGCAGTATAAAATATTTTAGCATTTCAAGAGGGGTAATTTCTGAGGTTCACTTCTCTCTGTAGTGATACCAATTTTCGCTTCTGTCTAGCTGAAGTGCATAATAGTGTTTCTACAGATGCCTCATAAAACTTAAAAGGATATCAAATTTCTGTCTCGAAGTAAAAATTCTTTCAAATTCCACAGCTGTCACTACTCTGAGTAGTTTTGCACCACAATCTGACAAGCTATGCAGTAGTGCAGTCCGGAAAAGAAATGTCCCAAAGAGGTCATCCCATTCCCCTGCAGTTCTAGAAAATGTAGGTGATAAAATGTGCCACAGCCACAGCATCTCCAAGTACCTTCACTGGCAGAGTAAAAGGCAGCATAGTCCTGCATCTGCTGAGCTGCTTGTCACTGTGGGCTTGGAAGATCTAGGGTACATCTACATAACTTTAAGGTATCCTAAAGAAACTTTTTCTGCAGCTGTTGAAGATGGGATGCAGCAGACACCAACAACAGGTGGTCAGACAGATGGAGGAGGTGGAGAGAAGCAAAGATAGTAATTAAGAGTAAACGTGTTATTCCCAGCCACCCACCAACATTCTGTTCAGCTCCCTTGAAAATCCATCTCACTCAGCTCTCTGTGTCAGGGAAATGGGCTGCCCATGTGGGACCAGGCCTTTATCTCAGCTCTGTGTCACATGTCAAGTGCTCAGAGCAGAGCTCTGCTGGGAAACCTCAGGTGAAATGAGTGATCCAGCCATGATCTCATTGAAATAATACCAGCAGAAGGGATGGTCAGCTAGATATAAACTGGATTCTAAAACTCAGAATTTTTTCTCACCCATGTTACAGACTTAAGGTCCGAATCCAATTTTGTTACATCTATCAATCAAAAATGCTTTCAGATTAAGCATACAGCACTCTACATTCACTCACAAATTAACAGCACAAAGTCTTCCACCCCACAAATCTATGTGTTAGCTTTTTGAAATTATTGCAATGAATCACACAATTATTTAGGCTGGAAAACATCTCAAAGTCATCAAGTCCAACCTATGACTGAACATCACCTTGTCAATTGGACCATGGCAGTGAGTGTTGCATCCATTTTTTCCTTAAACACTTCTGTTGATGATGACTCTACCACCTTCCTGGGCAGCCCATTCCAATGCTTGACAACTCTTTCAGTGAAGAAATTCTTGCCGATGTCCAGCCTGAATCTCTCCAGGTGCAGATTGAGGCCATTTCCTCTTGTCCTGTCACTTGTTGTCTGTGAGAGGAGACCAATCTGCACCTTTCTACAAACTCCTTTCAGGCAGTTGTAGAGAGTGATAAGGTCTCTCCTGAGCATGTGGTCTAGCTTTAAAGCTTGTTTAAGATGCAAGTGCTTAACAAAATCAAACCTAAATTTCACTTGAGTCTCAAGGGACTAATATCTCATACAGTATGAGTAAGTACATTTTAAAGGGGCTCACAAACTCCTTTCCACTTCTTTTCCCAGGAATTAAAAGGGCAAAAGCTCCTGAAACCTGAGAGTTTTCAACTTGCTCTGCTTTGGCAGACTTGCAACTTTCAAAAAGGCCCATTTGTCAATGACATTTTCTGGGGTTTAGAGGACAGTTAGGGTATTAAGTACCTTAATTAGTTTATGAAGTCATTACTTTGTATTCCTCTCTTTGCTCACCTTTTGGAAGAGGAGATTTTTTCTTGAATGAAATAACTAGACTTGTGGTGGGATACCTTGGCAGAGAGTGAAATGCTCGCCACCTATACAGCAGGATTCGGTAGAAGAGTAGAATTCGGTAGAAGAGTAGAAAGCTCATGGGTCAAGAGAAAGACAGGAAGATTGCTTCCTGGTTTTTGTCAGGGCAGAACATTCTTGACACGTGGAAAATCAATTTGTTGCTGATTTAAAATAATGGGAAGTTAATGGGAGACAGAAGGACAAACAGTAGAATAAGTTGTCTTGCCCTTTTTCCTGAGCTCAACTCCATTCCTTTTCCCTGTAGGCTCCTCTACCAGAATCATAAAATGATTAAGGTTGTAAAAGATTTCAAACCTTATCAAGTCCAATGGTGCACCAGTAAACCTTGTCCCTGATTGCCCCATCTACACCTCTTTTGACATTGCCAGGCTCAGTGATACCTCCAGTGAGACTGCCAGAGCAGGGCAGTCTGTTCCAATGCTTGTCTCCCCTTTCAGTGAAGAACTTCCTGCTGATATCCAGTCTAGCCCTCCCCTGCTGCAGCTTGGGACTGCTTCCTCTTCTGCTTGTGCTTGTTAGCTGGGAGGAAAGACCAGCCCCACCTGGCTACAGCCTCCTTCCAGGCACTTGTAGAGAGCAATGATGTCTTCCCTGAGCCTCCTTTTTTCCAGACTAGACACCCCAGCTCCCTCAGCCACTCCTCACAGGAGTTGTGCTCCAGACACTCCATCAACTCCATTGCTCTTCTCTGGACTCACTCCAGTATCTCAACATCTTTCTCATGCTGAGGGATAATTACTCTGCTCAGTTATGTAATAGGCAATTTAGATAATGATTTCATTACATAATTTGCATTAAGTCATTTTGTGTGTTAACAGATAATTCAGTGGCTGAGTTGTATGTCGGTAGTTGAGGGACCATCGTAACTAGCAGGACTACATCAAGTTATGGCACAAGCAGAGAAATTAATAATAAACATCAGGTAATTTGTGACTTACCATGAGCCTCAGTGTAATGCACATTATGATTTATTCCTCCCCACCTCACAAAGCAAGAACACTTTCCAAATGAGTTATTTCAGTGAACTGGCCAGCCTGGTGGCTTGAGACTTTGCCCCATTCCTAAGATTGTATCACCAAAGCAAAAACTAAAGTTGCATGTAATTTTCTATGCTATGTGCTTGCGTTCCCAGGATTTTAAATGTAGAGTGCATTGTTAGATATTAAAAGAAACTGCTACAAGGAATTAAATTAGAATTCTCTGCTCTTCAGACTTACTTACCCAGGAACAATTTTCATGAGGGGAAAAAACAAGATTATCCTACAAAAAGTATAATTCTGTTTATCAAGAAACTCTGTGAACAGTGGTGTCACTCCTTGCACCTTATAGACCTGCCCATTCTTTTTTCACTAAAGAGGCATCTTTTAGAGCCAGTATTCCCAAAGGTTGAACTAATTTAACCTCTGGTGTTGTAAAACTGTACCAGCTCACACAGAGCTATGCCAGCTCTCTCATAGAAAAGATGGGGAGTGACTCCTCTGTGTACCATTACATTTGTATCTGGCTTCTTTCAAGTACCTTTTTAAAGGAAGTTTTACCCTTAGCAGCATCGTTATACCTGAGCATAAACCTGTGCAGTGGGTGAGTGTGGCTTGTGGGTGAGAAACTGATGCAATGGGCTGGGCAAAAGAAGGTCGCAACATTGCCCATTTGTTTTGAGGATGAGGGAACGTTTTTAGTTGCCTAACTGTGGTCCTTCACTCAATGGTCCTGGGAGAGATTGGTAATTGACATCATTTTTATGGCATAGTTATTTTCATCCTGGTGTTCCAGCTTGTGAAAGTGTGGACTGACCTTGTAGAATTCTTCTCCAAAGGGATAAACTGGGTAAGGAAGAAATTATTTCTTGTGAGGGTGCTGAGATGCTGGAACTGGGAAATTATGGCTGGATCATGACTGGAAGTGTTCAGGGTCAGGTTGGATGGGGCTTTGAGCAACCTGACTTTATGTTTCTGGTGGTGGATAAAGAAAGAGGTGATTTTTTCCATTCTGCTACTGCTGCCTGGTATGAGCAAGGAGGGAGAAAGGAAATATGGCTGGCTTCTGTTGACACTCAGGTTCTGTCTTGTGCACTGTGTCCACAGGAGAGGCCTCCAGGAGGATCCAGGGAGAGTAAGAGAAATGCATCATGTCTGTTTCACTGTGTGCCATCAGGCCACACAACAGGAAGGAAGAATGTCAGGAAGGAACATGTCAGGTGCATCAGTCTGATGCCTTTCTAGCCTATGGACTCGACAGTGTTAAGTTTAGAGTTGGACTCAATGATTCTAAAATTCTGTTCTAAACAGTTCTGTGATTCTCTGGTCTAGTGAAGGTGTACGTGCCAACAGCAGGGGGGGTTGAAATTAATGCTCTTTTAAGTCCCTTCCAACCCACACCCTTCTGTGATTCTAAGAGCTGGTCTTTACTTGGCTGTTGTGGATCTCACTTGTTGTGGGTATTGGTGCCAAGATCCAGATTTTCTATTTTTATACAGGCTGTGGCTGGGATGAAATTGGTTGTCTCCATAGCAGCCTGTATGAGGCTATGTTCTGGATTAGTGACTAAGAACATTGGTTACACAGCAGTGTTTTGGCTGTTGCTGAGCAGGGGTTGCCAGCATCAAGGCCTTATTTTTGTCCTTCTTTTTCTCCTGCATTTGCTGCCAGTGAGTAGGCTAGAGGTGGATGAGAGGCTCTGAAGGAACACAGGGAGTCACATCTAATCCCAGCTGCCCACAGCAATATTCCATACCAGATGCCATTGTGCCCAGCACCAAAAGCTCTGGGAAAAAGATGAGAAAGTGGGGACATTCATGGTTGTGGGATTTGTTTTCTCAAGTAACTGTTAGTGCGCCAAACTGTTAGTGTTCCTCTGCTTGCTGCTAGGGAATTGTGATTAGATTCTTAGTTTTGCTTTCCATGTGTATCTTCACTGTATCTCCTAAGCAGTCTCTATCTCAATCTGTCTTCTCATTTTTGCCTTTACAATTTCTCTTTCCTGTCCTGTTTAAATGGAGGTGAACAAGGTCAAACCACCATATTCTTCTAGAAGGCCTAAGTCCTAGTGGGAATGGAATGGGAGCAACTTATGAAAGCTGGGGCTAAAGCTCTTGGAGTCCCCTAAGAGCAGACCGAAGTAAAGCTGGTGGTTAAGGCAGGATGCTAAGTAGTTTTGCATTGTGTAATAGACTGCAAAAGCCTTGGAGCACTGAGGTGAGATTAACTTCGGAAGCAGGCCTTCCCCCTTCCACAGGCTAGTAAGCAAGGTGAGCCTGGGGCCAGCAGACATCTCCAGGCAGGAGGACAAGGTATGGAATTGTCAGTTCTAGGGGTGTCACTGGATGCACACCAGTGTCACTTCTTACTCTGTGTGCACGACATGGTGGACCTGACAGGAATACAAACTTGCCCTGGGGCAAGACAGGATCCCAAACTATCATCTTGTTTCAGCAGGTATCATTGTGCAATATAAACCTTCCCTAACCCAAGCCAAAGGGAAAAAGAGGATATGATGTTGAAAATGGTAAGCCATGTCCTAAAGGAGATGGAGAGGATCACATATCTGAAAAACACTCTGAGTAATAGCCAGAGCTCGCAGTGCACCCCACAAGAGAGCTGGAAGGAGGACAGGCCCTCTACCACAGCTTTTCCCAGGGCCTGTATTCACCTTATGAGCAAAGTTCACATCAAGGATGCAAATTGTCCACTGTTTGTGCACTGACACACCCAGTGTGTACTTGTACACTCCTATGAGAAAGCAAGTGGTTTCCCAGCTGTGCTCTTTCCCAGGAATCAGTGTGCATGCCTAGGAATGCCTGTGCTGGAGCCTGGCAGAGCCACATCCCCCCAGGTCAGCACCGGCCATACCAGGCTTCCAGTATCACAGCTCTGCTCAGGGTGCATGTCACGGTGATGTGCATCCCTGTGCTGGAGCTTCCCTCCATCAGGAAGGTTCAGTAATGCACAGTTCACTGACAGAGCCTTGCAGCAGCTGGGCAACAGCTCTCTGGTTGGAGCTAGCTGGGGCTGCAGTGCTTGCAAGTCTCACAGTGCTGAAACTGCCACACCAGGCAGCAAAAGGGAACCGGTGTGTTATAGGGTAAATTAGATTCAGCACACAGAGGAGAAAACAGGTAAAGAAAGAAGCAAGGTGGTACCACAGTCAAACACACTATTTTAAATGGTTTTTTTCTTCTAGGGTTTTAAAATATTTGGGAAACCATTATCCATAGCAAAAGTATAGCACAATTCTAGAAATTCAGTTCTAGATCAGTGTTTTGATTTTGCCAAACAGGCCTCAGCAGAAGGTATGTCTAATGCTGCAGCGAGTTACTTCTCTCCCTTGGGCAAATTGCCTAATTAAACTTTGAGGACAATAAATGAGTGCCAACAGGCTTCTGCAAACAAGGGGAGAAGTACTAGTGTCAAAGCCCTGGCTGTGTTTAGCACTGCTTGCCAGTGTCTCTTCATTAACTCTCTTAATTTAGACTCTCTATAAATTTGTCACTAAGTCATAAAGTAAGCTTAAAATACCACAATTAAGCCAATGTGTTTTCCGTGGTTTTACTGAAACTGAAAAAGTAATTCTGTACCAAAATGTACACAGTTTAGTAATACAAAAAGTTAATTCTGCCAGACAGAATGTCAGTTAAATCCACCAAAATGAACACTGAATCACCATTTATTGCCAGACCAGTGTTAAATAAAATCATTGAATGAACATAGAAACAAAGTAATTCCAAATTTTCTTAAATAAAAATAGCAATTAGCAACAATACTGCAGGAAGATAAACATTCATGGTATTTACTATTTACATGCCATCATAACATATCTAGCATGTAGTATGTCTTCATGCTTGCACATTACATTTATGAGCTCATTACAATGGATATTAATGTGTAAATGTACTACAAAGCAACCCACCATGATGTATATCAAATCTGCACGTTAGAAGAGCACCTCTACTAGTCACCCCTTTAGGAATGATGCTGCAGGAAACCAGCCCAATCCACTGATTCCCCCCACAAAAAGTCAAACAAGAAAAGCCAACACCAACCAAACAAAAAAATCATCAAGCATATTAATAATTTTCCTCCTGTGATTAACTAGGCAGGGCTATGCATTTAGCAGTATTCCTGAAGGTGAATCAAACCAGAATAAACCTGGGTTTTCTTTATTACAGTAAGAACACCTGAGACTGCTTCACTGGTCCAAGTACAGTATTTTATTACAAAAACTGCTTCTTACATTAACGTGTCATTTCAATGAATCCCCTTAATTAGTACTTCTCATTGACAAAAAAGCTAAGATTTATTCTTAAAATAAATATTCCCCACCTCAAAAAGAAAGTTCAAAAGGAAATTAAAAGAAAAAAATCCCCTCCTTTTTTTTATAAGAACAGCGTGGTCTTCTGGCTTAGTTTTATTTCAGCTGAAATGGTGGATAAACACCTATTCTTGGAGAATAAGCGTTAAACACCTTATAAAAATCCCCAACATAAGGTACACAATGTGTATGTATGTTCCTAAAGAGAATTCTTGTTAAGTGTAAACATCTGTTCTTGAACATCTGTTCTTGACTCCTGTTTGAATGCACTCCTATCAAATAATGTTTCTCTGAGAAACTACATTTGCTTAAATATCTGACACATAACTGTTTTGAAGTTGCCATTTCATTTTTTCTACAAAGTACCAAAACAGTTGAAGACACTGTTCTTCCCTACTTCAGTACAGATTATATTTAACAGTTCAAAATATAAAAGATCACAAGTTTTACATAAAGGAATAACCTAGATTGTGGACTTAAACACTGAACACTGCTTAGCTGAAGCAGCAGCAAATTAAGTACTATATATAGACAGAGATTTCTATTAAACTAATATAATTCAATTAAACTGTCTGATAGCCTAAGACCTGTTTTACATGTGAACAAATTAAAACTGGGAGTTCATAGAAAGTGATTAGGCTTGCCATCACTTTAAAAAACATGCTTGCTTAACCAGAAAATAAAGATGGCAAGGACCAGTGCATTCAATCCAAGTTTACACCAACTTCTTTTGTTTTGTTACTTTAAATGTACAAAGTACATCACATTACTTTTCAGTTTAGTAGTTACCAGGACGTTATTAGGCAAAATAATCTCAACCTGTGAAAACATTAGACTGACTCTTCAGAAAATGATGTGTAGTAAGAGTTTGAAAGCATGAAAGAATTTTTGTAAGAGTAAGAATTTGAAAGAATATTCAAGATATCTGACAGGACTTCTTTTCACAGTTTCTAACCACTGAAGAAGATCAAGCATAGCTAGTCTCAAGTCTTGATCTCTTAGTTTGTCTTACACAGACATCATTGAGTTGAAGGCAATCTTTATTCTAAACTTCATAGATTTTGGTTTTTTTTCCTTGTGCACCTGGTCAGTTCCTAAAACAATTCTTCAGTTCAAACCCATTTTAGTATTCAAGCTGCCTTTTTAGTGCAGGTTCCTTGAAGATCCTGTAGATTTATCTTTGACCTAATAAAACAAGCAAGATAACTACATTAGATAGTTAAAATGCTACACTGCTTCTATGTGTTGCAATTAGTCACATAATCATTATTGACTCTCCTGTACTTGTAAGAGGATCAAAACAGCAGATAAATACACAGATTTTTCCATTTTTTACCTGTTGTGGATCATGTGGCTTTTGACCAGATGCCCTGCTGCAAGAGCAGCCATTAATGACAATTCCCCTGCCATCACTGTAGCACAAACAATTTTAGCAAGCTGACGGGCATTTTCACCAGGGTTATCTTGGCTTGCACCTTGAACCCCTAACATCTGGAAAAAAATACAGGGCAGTATTATGCTATGAAATCTAAGTCAATTTATTATATATTTGGTAGTATTTCTAAATTATACCAAATGAGTCTCTTTAATATTATTAAGACATTAGTAAATGTCTTAAACTTTAGAAACTGGATATATGAAAACAGTTCATTAGACATTTCTAACATTTTCATATAAATACACCAAGTTTCAAGTAGCCCCATTCCTGCAATATTGCTTGCACGCCACATGAAAGCAACCTTTGATTTAAGAAGATAAGTTGCTTTCAACTTTGAGAACTATACCTGCAAACAGGCCTGCTGTGGGAGCAGGTTGGTGCCTCCACCAACAGTCCCTATTTCTATAGAAGGCATTGTGCAGCTGATGTACAGGTCTTCATTGGTGGAACCAGTTCTCTCCATCAAAGTGATGCAGTTGGAGCTGCCCACATTCTGTGCAGCATCCTTCAGATCAAGGAGGAGAAACAACAATCAGACACATAAATCAGTGTTTGATTAAGAATTACTGAACTAAAGAAAATGTGAACTGGTGTATAACAAACCTACCTGACCACAGGCAATGTAGATCGCTGTCACAATGTTTGCTGCATGTGCGTTGTAGCCACCTATGCTACCAGCCATCGCAGAACCCACCAAATTTTTGTTTATATTAACTTCAACTAGATCTTCTGTAGTTGTTTTCAACACCTGGACAAAGTGATAGATACACTTTTACTACCCTTTTCCTCAGGCAGGAGTAGAAATACTCTATTTATGGTTATTCATGGCCCTCATCCCTTGTTTGCTTCTGTATGGAATTTGAATCAATCATTGTCCTGGATACCTTTTACTTTTGTTCCAAAGAAGACTTTTAAATATAGGATGTCCAAGTAACAATGGAAAAGTCCAAACAAAGGGTTTGGACTTTCACAGGCCTTTGAGAAAAGCTCACAGCTGGGTACTCCATTTCAAAGTCTCCCTTATATTCAGAATGGAACAAGTAAAATCATCTTGGCAGAAACATCCCATTAATTTACCTTTACATGACTCCAACATTCCTGTCAATTTGTTCCAGACACTAAACTCTTCCCAAATTTGTTTTGCACACAAATATGGAGCCAAACAAAAGTTCCAACACAAACAACTATTCTACATAGGTAAATAAATACTATGAACAGTAATATAAAATTAAGTGACATATTTATTTTTAGTGACTAGATTTTGAAACTTTCAAGTAAGAGATTTATACTGAATTTAATACAAAAATGATCAAAGATGGTCAAAAGAGATACTGTTGTTGAGCAAAATTTAAGATATTCCTGCACAGCAGGAACAGTATTTATCTGCACAAAGTCTGCAGCACTGACAAAAACATAACATTGATGTATTACAAGTTCAGTATAAGTAAATGTGGTGACATACAGGGCTGGGGTTTGAGGAAAACCTTCCCAAATTTACCTAAAAATTATCAATGCTCATTATGAAAGGACTACCTCCCCTTTACTACCCTGGAATGAAATCCTGAGGTTACAATAGATATTGCCAGTCAACAATTTGAAAAACAGTAAACTACCCCAGAAGACATGAATTATGTCAATGTATAAATCCATTTTGAACACACTGTTAGAATCCTGTGTCAAATTCTGTACCCAGAATTTTAGACATGGTAGAACTGTAAAAGATACAGAGGTAAGCATGTTCAAAGACATACTGGAAGTCTGTTTACTCACTGATGATAGAGAAACTAGTACATTTTAGTCTGAAAATGAAAATAGCTGGGAAGGTGGACCAGCTGTGTCAGAGCTGTAACATCTTGAACAGTTGAGAGAAGATGAAAAGTCTTAAACATCTCTCCCAGTACAAAACTGGGGCATCATCAAATGGAATCAATACAAAAGTAGTTCTCACACAAGGTGAAGCTGGACTGTGGAATACTGCCCAGAATAGTAGTTCTAGAAGTTTATATAGTGTCCCAGAAGAGACTGGACAAATCACTAAGGGAAAGCAAGCAAAAAAAAACAAACACCCTATCCAGTATGCAATCACCCACTTATAAGATCTTAAACAAGTGTTACAATGCAGTGAATTCTTCCTTGGATATTGTCTCCCATGGCCAGTGCTGACAACCAGGTAACAGGCAATGGATTTTATCTGACACAGAAGCCATCTTCTGAACTTGGGTGGAAGAGAATCTAAGACACTGTTGTAATGGAGGACAAGCCGGCCAGAGAATACAACTGGCATTGCTTATAAAGTAATACCCTTGGTCATGCCAGATGCCAAGACAGCTTTGGAGTAAGTAAACCACCTGATTATCCGTTTCCACTGTAGTAGGAAGCATATAAATACTGAAGAGAAAGCCGGGTGCGTGTGACACAAAATATGAGTGAAAGGGTTAAAAGACTGGGTTTAATGACACACAAAACACCACATGTAAACATCTGTCAAAATGTGGCATAATTTTTAAGAGGTTAACCATGAAAATCCCAATGCCTTCAACTAGATATTAAACACATCACTACGCATCATTAAACACATACACACTATTTCACACTAGCCACAATGAAAAAGGAAGAATCTACTGACTCAGAGAAATGGCTTATCCTACAGAAGTACCTGAAAAGACATTTAAGAACCATCCTTACCTGGAAAACAACTTTCAGTTCATATTTACAATGTAAAATAAGCATCAGTTTTGCAAAACGTATGTATTTTTATAAACAAGAGACCAGACACTTACTTCTCTAACAACCTTAGCTGGAATGACTGCTTCACAGACAACAGACTTTCCTCTTCCTTCTATCCAGTTTATAGCAGCAGGTTTTTTGTCTGTACAGTAGTTACCACTGATAGCTATAACCTGAAGGTCAGGAAACTCTTCATTCAGCCGCACCAGTGCTTTTTCAGTACCCTGTTAGAGCGAAACAGGTAATAGGCTAGGTTTATCTTTATGGGTGTAAAACAAGCTATTCAAGGACAGCGGAACGGTATCCTAATCAGATAATCAGTTACAGTGGAAGAAAAGAAAAATACAAAAATACAAAAAATATAATGAAGAAACAAGAAATAGAAGGGGAAAAACCACAAACAATTATGACTATCTTTTTTTCTAATCACTCTGGGAATTACATTGGGGAATGACTGATTTTTCCCAGTACATACAGACTCCCTGGATCCATTCTAGGTACGTAGACATATGGGTACCATACTGAAGATACAACAGGAACTAAGTGAAACTATTACAGGCATAGATTGAAAAAAATCTGGATGTAGAGGAAAGAGCTTCTTTACACCAGGAAATCAAGACTAGAAAATCTGCTATATTAGGACTTGCCTATGATCAGATCCACTTTCATAATGGTTCTGATTGCCTATTCTAAAAGAAGTTTAAGTCTAACATTATTCGTTTTGCAATCTAAGGATCTAGATAAGCAATCTAAGGATCTAGATATGCAACCTAGAGATGCAGTCTAAGGATCACATCTCAAATTCTTCCCCATGTTTGCATAAAAACAAGCAAAACTAGAGAACACCTCTCTGCTGCCACTCCTAATTCTTTATTAACTAGGAAATGATAAACACAGTAACAGAATAATTACTACTGGATAGAATCTTTGGCTTAAAGCAACAGTGCAACCATTTTAGCTTTCTATTACCAAAAATACTGTCTTTAAATAATTATAAAAATATAAAATAAAAAATTACTTCCTTCCTTCATAATTTTCTTCCTAGTTTTGTCTACACTTAACAAAACCAAAAATTTTTATTGTTTTATGCAAAGACCACTGTGTCTTGTCTTTGTCTTCCAGATGGCACAGGTTATTAGGCTATTTTCAAAAAGGAATACCCATTTTTTAAAAATACTTAAGGGGACTGATCCTTACTTTTGAAATCATATTCATTCCCATTGCATCCCCTGTTCCAGACTGAAACCGGATATAAAGGTTACGACCAGCCAAACTGATGAGAAGTTTTTGTAGGCGGGCAAACCTGCAAGAAAATGTAACTATTACTTACAATGCTCATGGGAATATTAGCTTTAAGTGGCAAAATGACAGTAAATATTTGCAAATTGCACTGCTAAATACAGAATAATAAATTCCTTTATGAATCATTTGGAAAAGAGCTGTAAAACCAACAAGTCCAGTCTTTGACAATCATCCTTTCAACAGGACCACAGCACCAAGTGCTATGTCCAGTCATTTCTTGAACCCTTCCAGAGATGGTGCTTTCTTGAATAAGTACAACAAAATATTCACTGTTAAAATGTTCACTGCCTTTTTATGTTTTCTATCCCTGAACTTCAAGAAATAAAATATCCTCAACTGCTAACATAAATTTATTCACTTGTATTCCTTAAACATCTCACTACCAGATCTAAAGTAATAATCAGGCCTTTGGAAATTCTGATGTAAGTTTTACAGCAAGGCAAAAAGCATGCTATCTTCAACACTGCAAGCTGCACAAGTCACTCAAAAGGCAGAAAGTACTGCATTTAAAAAGCAGCATGAGCTGATTCTGGCCAAAATACAGATGTATCTTTGGCTGATGCTTGTTAAGAAACACAACAGGTAAGAAAATCTCTCTCTGAATCTTCCTAAAGCAAGAAGATCATCATAAGCCCTAGAGAAAACTTTAGGGCTTGAAATAGACTTATTTTTACCACTGTTTTACATTTTTTTAGCATTTCAGTTCTAGCATTAGTTTACCTTGTATTTTCTCAGATTAATACTAATAATATCATCTGAAAGGCTTACGACCAAACTTTGAGGATTTTTTCTGCATAGTAATTACAGTTACTCTGCCTAGTAAAAATCAAAATAAGATTATAGGATCTTTTTTAAAAGCTTAGACAAATTAATATTCTATTAATTATTATGCAATGTCTATCTATTTGTTGTTAACATACAGCAGTTTACCATTATCAGTGAAAAATGTTTATTGCTAGCCTTGGCACACAGCCAGACTGATTTCTGTCCTCTTAGATACTCACAGCATTGGGACAGCCAATTGCAGTACTCCAAAAAAACCAACTGAGATCTTTCTACCATCCACAGAAGTCTTATGTCTGGACATGAAGCTGGAACAGCCATCATACTAACCTACTTGTGCTGTCAAAAGCTTCCTTCATTATTTTAAAACCTTCGGGGCTTTCAAGCCAGACTTTCACCTCTGCAGCCTGGCAAGCAGTGGGCAACCTTACAACAGGTCCTCGAGTCATCCCATCTGCCAGAATGCGGCTACTTGCTCCTCCACCAAGCTAAAAACCAAAGCAGAAGGGGGATGAAGTAAGATTACTGAAATTTTAGTTTTCAAGAAATCAAAAATATGCATTATATAAACCTGAATATGTTTAGGTTTATATAATGCATATTTTTATGCATTATATTTATGTATTTTCTAATACAGGAAGTTTTCTAAGCTTTTAAAGTCACACAGTACTTACACATATTGCTCTACATCCTCTGTTTGTGCTTGCTACAAGACATCCTTCTGTTGTTGCCATTGGCACCTGAAACTCTTTCTTATCCAAAACCAGTGGTCCTGCTACGCCTACAGGAATAGGCATATATCCAATCACGTTTTCACAGCAAGCTCCCATCACCTTACAGAAACCAAACAAAACAATCACTTAGGTTACATTCCAGTGGTACAGTACAGCATGCTACATACAATGCCTATGACTACACCAAGGCATCTTTGTAAAACACGCACAAATTTACCCATAAATCAACTCACTGCCACCTCAAAAAGTTAACAGCTATAACTACCAACAGCGAATGTTATTCAACACTAGGCAAGATATATTGAATCCTGTATAGTACTAAATGTTACTTAAATAACCCTGAAGTTTTAATTTAAAAAAATATTCAGTTTTAACTTGTGCTCAAGGTTATATTATCATTCAGTTGAATTGTGGCTCAGTTTTAGTAGAACTCCACATTTCTCAGATAAGTCAGCTGCATACTTTGATAGGAAATATTTTTTGGATAACTTACAAAACTCATGCACCACCCTAGGTTTAAAAACATTAAGAGCAATTAAAGTTGGTGCCTCATGTCTGCCTTTTATTTTTTTCCTTCTACATCAGTTTTGACCATGCTTATTGTTAACTCACATGCATGACTATGGATTTATTTCATAGAACCATAGACTTGTTTGGGTTGGAAAGGACCATAAAGACCACCTAGTTTCAATGCCCCTGCCAAAAACAGGGACACCTTTCACCTTTCACTGAACCAGGTTGCTCAGAGCCCCATCCAACCTGGCCTTGAACATTGCCACATTTGGACCATCCACACCTTCTCTGAGCAACCTGTTCCAGTGTCTCACCACACTCCCAGTGAAGAATTTCTTCCTAACATCTAAATCTGCCCTTCTTCAGCTTAAGGTTGTTCTGCCTTGTCCTTTCATTACAGATTCTTGTGCAAATTCCCTCTTCCACTCTCTTGTAAGCCCCCTTCAGATACTGGAAAGTGCTTTAAGGTCTTCCCAAAGCTTCCACTTCCAGGATGAAAAATCCCAACTCTATTAGCCTGTCCTCACAGGTGAGATATTCCAACCCCCAGTCAACTTAGTGGCCTCCTCCGGAATCGTTCCAACAGGCTCATGTTTTTCTTCTTCATGTGTTTGGAATATAGTTATACAGTGAGTTCTGCTTGTCTACTTCATACTTACCAAAGAATAATTATAATTCTTGTAAGGAAGATACTGCAAAGATGAAGGTTCAGGAAGTTTCTTAGATAACATCTGTCTGCGAATGGATACACCTCGCTCCTGGGTTTCCATCAGGGTTTCCAGTTTGTACGCAGGAATATGCTTAGCATTAACTAAGCTGATAACCTCAGCATCAGTAAGAAATTTTGCTCCTTCCTGGAAACAAAGGGTGGAGAGAGAAAACAGAGACTCTCCTGGTGAAAATAATTTTAAATGTTTCTAAAAGAAAAAGAATAACAACTTTACTTTGCTAAAGGGGTCAACTGCCAACATCAGGTTTTACAGCAGGCCAACATATGATCAAAAACTTTCATGATCAGACAACACTCGTACGTGTACATGATGAAGTTCCAAAGACTTGGAATGTTATCAATGATGAAGCTGATCCCTCTTCCTACCCTTCTCAACTGACTTGAGAACTCATTAAAGGGTTTTGTTTTAGCTGTGACCTCCACACTCCTCCATGTTATTAAAGCCATGTAATTTCCTGAAGAATGATATTACAACCAGTGGGATCATCTAAAAGCTGGGAAAAGAACTCTAACAATTCTTAAATCAGATGCTGCAGTAGGGGTTAGATAAAATAGTTATTTTTCCATACCTGTGCATTTCCAAGTATACGAACACATTCCTCAATAGAACGTGGCTCTTTAGGTAACTCAATCTCTTCCTCTTTTCCACTCAGATATGAAGAAGTTTCCACAGGGCTGGAATTGCCAACTACAAATGTAGCCTTGGTTGATGACTCTGCTAACACAGGTTTTATGACTTCAGCTGTACAAAGATAATAAAAATGAGCTCCAGTTAACAAAATACTGAAGTTTTGATACCAAATATAATATGCTACCAAAGATTGCACAATTTGTTCCAAATACTCATTAATGGGTCCAGACTTTAGAATTATAAAAATTACCTACCACTTTCATCTTTGGATATGAAAGTTTCTTCTCCTGTGTTAGATTTTTGATTGTTTTTCAGAACTCCAGTCTGCTTCCTGCAACAATTTTCAGGGACCTTTTTCTGTACCATCACAGGAGATGTTATGGGATTCTTCAGTGAGAGCGTAGATTCAGTCTCCGCTTGCTCAAAGAAAATATATTTGACAGCAAGGAGAAGGGCTAATCCAAGTGTGATTACTTGCTCAATATCCATACTGGCCATTCTAAAAATGATCAAAAAGTAAATATAGAGTATATACAATTTGTTGCTTATAACAGAATTCTGATATTTTTTTACTTCAGAAAGGGTAATAATTCCATCCTCACATAGTTACAGAAATTCCAGTCAGGAGATATTTTCTACCAGGATGTTGAAGTATTCTAGGCTAGGGTGGAAAAATCATTCTTCATACTACTATCAACAGGAAAATCTTCAGATGTCATTAAAGAGTTACATAAATCTGGCTAAAAAGCAGCCCCAGTAGAAAAAATGACTGTAAAAGATTCACTGATAGCTACATCAAATTGACTTGACACCTGTCCCCCAATGACAAGACAAAGTTTCATTTATCATTATCTACCAATTAGGACTACTATGATGCAAGATGAACTGCTAAGAAGGGACAAATACCCCATGCCTATACCCGAAAGTTCTGACTTCTCAGAAATAACATGAAGTGACAGGTGACACTAACTTGAATTGAGCTGAAGGAAAAGCCATAATATAAAATGAGTTTTGCACCTTTTGCACTTAGGTGTGAATGGTGAGAAACTCTATGTAAGTAAATTACTCTGGTACAGTTTTGAAATTATTTCCCAGTGCGCTGTGAAAGATGCTAGTGGGAAAAGACAATGTTTTGATGCACACAGGAGAACTAGCTCTTGATCATGTTCTTGACTACTGCAAGAGTTTGGACAAATGGCATAATATTGACATTTCTTCTGAAATGTCACCTCTGGTTCCAAGACGTCCTACAGTGGTCAGACCTGAAAGTCTGCACAGTCTTGTGATCTAGGATAACAAGCATCTAGCTTGGCAGCAGTAGAAATACAGCACAATCACACTTCTGTGAAGCCACCCACCGAGAAAGGTAGAACTGCCACAGTGAAACATTAGGTTCAATTCTCTTTGGTGCACTCTCATCCAATCCCACTGAATTTTCAACAGTACTGTTTTGAGCAGCTGGTTCCGCTATCCAACGACTGTGGGCGTGAACAAGAACCAAACCCAGTGACTGTATCAAAAACACAAAACAAGTATTAATTTTTCAAATGTAACTTGGTATCTAATCTAGTAAGAGTAAATATTGCCCTCTTTTTGTTTGGGTTTTTTGCTGGCTTTTTCCCCCCATGTTTCCCACGCTTCTAAAATCCAAAAGCTGCTTTTCTACACCTCTAATTAACACCCTTTTTGGCCTACTGCGACACTGTTGTATAGTAGCTTTGGATGTGTCCCACCCACACTTTCTCTCACTCAAGAAATAAGCAAAGGAAGCTGAGGGTACTGCAGGGGCAAGAGGGAGTACACATGAAAGAGCCCTGAGTGCTTGGCCCAGAAATGCCACACGCAGGAAAATGACAGGTGTAGATATAGGGTAAGTTAATTAAAAACTAATGACTAAGTTCAACTAATGGGCTTCAGAATACAAGTCTATAGGAAACAAAAGCTTAATTTTTGCACCAGGACACCTCACTGATTGCATAACCACAGGTGAAAAAGAGCCACAAACCATAATCATTTTGACCCTCTGTGTCACAGGATTTGGTTTATTCTCTTCTTCTTCCAGAACACGAGCAAAATGACTAAGCTGCCATATAGGGCGCCCTTCACGACTCTCTCTTGAAAGCTGCAATAAAATAAAAATAAGTCATATATAGTACCTATTAGACAAACCAACAAATAAGATGCCACATTACATTTTTATTTGATTATTGACAAATTACCAAGAGTCTATAGTTAGACTTTCAATTGTGAAAAACCCTGGACAGACAATAAGTTACAGTATCATCTGTTTAGTTTGCTTTAGATCACAACTACTACTGAGTGTGACTCATTTACAGTGATATTTACACATTGCTGTCTTTACCAGTTTACTTTGAAAGGAAGATGAACATGCTGGCATATAACTCCATGATGAAAAATACAGCTTACAGAAGCACAGGGCTGAATACTAAACTTGAGGTTGTCTTGAAGCTGGTCTTACCTCTAATACCAAGGACACACAAGCTGGAAAGAAGGTCATGAAGACAAAGTAGTTGGCAAGAACAGACATACAGCCAAAGCAGCACATAATTTCAAGCTGTCGTACACCTAAATAAAAAGACAGTTTTTACATTTGAATATGCAATTAGCTATAGCTGAGTAAGTGCTGCTGGACTAAGAAAGAAATCATTAAACTGACATTGCTGATTACAGAAGGAACTATCGAGATTAATTAAAAACAAGCATCTTAAGGCCTACTCATTGTGCATTGGCTTATTCTAAGCACAATATGTATTTAGGTAGTGACAGAAAAGTATTTCAAGGTGTAATTCTAAATGAATACAAATGAAGTTCACCAAGATTTTAAACTTCATCATGAAAGCTTGAAACTCCTTACTCATTTGAGCAAAAAAAAAATTAGCCAACACTATGTACTGAACTCCCTTTTCAAACATGGGATGTTCAGACAAGAAGTAACAGTATACACCCCACCTACTTCTTCAAAAGTATCCAGAAAAAGCCACGCTATGCATGGTGCACATGCAGTATTTGATCCTTAGTAAGGATCAAAGAGCTAACAGGATAAATTGGTTTTAAAAAACTATATACAGCACCAAAATGAGTTTTTATCCCTAAGATATAAAGAAGAAAACAGCTTATTAATACACGATACCCTGAAAGGAGTGAAATTATTTGAAGAGCAAGTGCTAGAAGATGCTGTTGAGGTATGCAGTGTAGTTGAAAAAAACCCAAACCAAATCTTATGAAAGCAGCTGCACAGATGTTCATTCCTACTTCACAATGCTCAAGGAAAGCCATTACTAGTATTTAAAACTTTGGTTCAGCATGTATATATTATTCATATTTGCAGTAACCAGTAAAATAAGCTAATTAGGAGATAGATAGATAAATAAATAGATTAAGTTGCTCCACTCTCATGGCTAACACCTATTATTTGAAACTTTCCATACTCTAATGTCTCTCAAAAGGTCTTTTTTAACTGGAAATATTTAGACCCTTACACTTTATGGCTCACCTGACATGGTACCAACACCAATTACAAGGCACTCCACAAGTGCATCCAGGGTAAACGTAGGGCCTAATATTGCCATCCCACGTGAAATATTTTCTCGTACTTCATCCTAGAAAGAAAGATTTCTGTCCATTAACATGAAGACAAAAACCAAACTAAGTTATACATAACATGACTAGTAAACAGAGTAGTATTATGGTGGGAAGGCCTTCTAAAACATTTATTGAAAATGAACTATTATGAGAAAGTGTACAGAGAATCTATTCTATTTCCTCTAAGTAATTATACTTTCACTATTGACACAAAATTATTTTATTTTTACTAATTTCTCTACCTTTGCCTCATCAGTATTCTAAGCTTCTACAACATTGATGGGCAGAGACATTAATTGCAGCAAATTCAAAAGGACACCACTTCTAAATCTGAAGACATGATAGAAGGCATTTGTGTCATGGATTTCAAAATTTCTTACAATCACACATCTGTACTTCAACTACTACTACTTTAGTATTTTATATTTAACTCTGTAGACTCAGCTGATAGAAAAGAGGTCACAAAAGGCACTAAAGCTTTCTGATGGGGAGAAAAGGATTTCCTCCAGAAAGCAGGCATGATAAACTCTAGAGAGCTTGCTGCTGTTTTCCTGGTGATGGTATTTTTAGGGCAGCAGGGGGGAAAAAACTGTAGAAGAAACCTATTTGTAAAATATTCTCTTAAAATTAATAAAAAATTCCGAACCTGCATTAATCATAAATAATACAGAACACATTATATTGCATATATAGAAACTGTACATTGTAATATACACCAAATTCAAATACAACACAATGTTTGCCACAATTAGTATGTGTAAATGCCATGTACAGTATTTTGTAAGCACAAAGTAATCCCAGTTAATATACTCTTAGTTCAGAATTTGGACTATTAGGAAACAAACATTACCAGGTACAACAAGCAAGATATCCTGTCAATCTCTCCTAATGTGTTGTGTTAAATGTATTGGAGTATGGATGTTCTTGTCTGCACATATGCTACGTTCGTTCGGCTAACATTTGGCCTAAAATTATGCTTCTTTTTGTAGTAACAGTGTAACATTGGATGTGTCTTTAGATACTGTTCCTGAGTCCTAGAAATTAACTATTTCACTATCAGTAACCATTTTAAGGAAGACTTTGTTTAGGAACTTGAGCCTCCTTGGAAGAGCTGTAAGCATTGCTGGTTTAAAGTTCCAATTTAATGAAGTCATGCTCATACATACAATTAACAATGCCCACGGCTGTGCACACTAGTTTTACCATATTACTATTCACTTGAACACTGATCTGGCTTGAAGACAAGAGAACAGAGAATCTGGATAGAATTTGATCCTTTTGTTATTTATGTATCCCCAAGACATTATTTGCCTGTGTGTCTCTCCACTTGGATTACTTATACAATTATAAAATGACTTGTCTTGAAAGGGGCCCTCAAGCTCACCTAGGTTCTAATCACCTGACATGGGACAATACTCTATTCTGAACATTAAATTAAAAATCACCATTGCAAGACAAACAAACAAAAATCCCAAAGCAAAGCACAAACAACCAAAAAATCCTTAAAAATACCTCCCCTGCCTGACCTGTGAGTTGGAACTGAGCGCAAATTTGGCTAATGCACTTGCTCTTGACAAATCAATCAGAAGCAGGAAGAATGGCAAAGCTTCACTGAAAAAAACAGAGGCATATGTTAAAATTCAAGGTTTATGGTACAGGAAAAAAAAATATAAGCATGAAATCCAGAATAACAATTCATTACTTACTTTAAACCTGTCAATTCTTTATCCAAGAAGTGAATTACCACTGTACTAAAAACAAAACTTGAGAAGATTGTGAAGAGGCCAGCAATACCTTAAAAAAACAAGAGAATAGGAATTTTTTTGCCTATATATAGGAAGAGGAAAAGGAAAAAAACCCAAAATTCTCCCACTTTTAGATGAATCATGACAATGAATGATAATTCCCGTATCAGTGCACTAACAGCATTTGAGACTCAAACTGAAGAAGCTATTTCTTATAGACAATAAAATCTAAAATTTGTAATGCATTCAAAGTAAGACTCAAATAAAAGCCATAAATCTTAAGTAAAATCTTAAACAGCTCTACAATTTTAAGTATTTCACATAATAAACAGTTATTTCAAGAATGACATTTTCAGTGTTTATATAATCCTACACAACCTTCCCCCCCCCCAAAAAACAGTACTTTGATACGTGCAAAAAACTTTTTCTGCTATCTAGAAAATAATTAAAATAATGCTGTTGTGAACATAAGGATTAAAAGGTTAGTATTTGTTACCAATTTAGGTAAACCACGTCCCTCACAATTAAAACACATACAGCAAATACAAAAATCAGATAAAATACCTAAAATGTATTTTGATCCAAGCTGCCTTAGGTTCTGAAACTGGAAATATATATAAAGAATTGCTATGCAGCGTGTGATTGTCAGGATGATGATGTCACTGCTCAGAACATCCTGTATGAAATACAAAGCAATTTAGTTAGCTTTTGCACTATGGGAAATGTTGTGAAATGTTGTGTTCATTGTAAAGCTGCATTAAAAGTTAAGTTCCAGAATAAAATAAATATCACTGTTAGTCTTGCCTTAAAAACTAAAAATGCTAAAATGCTTGGTCATTGCATCACTGTTTGCATACAGTTTTGCCAACCAAAATAAGAAAAGGCCATGAAGAAGCTTCTCCACAGCTACTTTACTCCTAATATATCACAGCTTGATCATATTCTATAGAAAACCCTGGATGGACTGATTAACAACAATGAAAATTATTTTAAATCCTTACACCAAATAAATTATTTTAAACCCTTACTTCTTCAACTTTGGGGCACTCATAATTCCAGCCACAGATCTTATCATTCCCAGTGAACATCTTCATAGACATCATGCAGATAGTGAGAGTCACTGTTCCCACAATGACTTCCCATGGATGAGAGGCTACAAAAAGGCCATGCATTCGGAAGAGTCTGGACAGCATTTTCAAGGCTGTTTCTCTATACTTTGCAAACCTGCAGCAAAGGAATACTTCATATGAGTACAAGATTCAGTGAAAAAAGATACACCTCTACACTTTCCTGCAAGACATCCTTCAGGAAATAAAAGCAAAACCACTTAAGACAGAGAAGTGTAAAGAAACTAATCTTTACCTTTCCTACAATCATCCATGTAAAACATATTTATTTCTAATATTCTAAAATATTGTGCGTGATCTCCTCCTGTCTTCTCAACCTTTTTTGTTGTACTACCCATCTTCCTAGTTTCTTCATGGCCTTTGCCACTGGGATTAGGTCATCCATTAGAGTAGGGTGCTAGTAAAGCCAAGGTTGAGGGTTCAATCTCAATAAAGGGCATTCATTCAACAGCTGAACTCAATGACTTTTGTGGGTCCCTCCACATCAGAAGATTCTGTGATTCTAACAGTAAGGCCTCACCAGTCTCACAAGATCTCTCAAAATCTTCCTATCACACAATTTTGATACTGCTTTGACTCAAAATCCTTGTTTTTACCTTTTATGTAAGCACTCAGTAAATTCTTCGTTTCTCTGTACTCATTCTTCCTGTCAAAAATACTGATGAGCTATAAAAATTATCAATTAACCACTACTGGTAATACTCAACAGCAGGAATTGCAATGTTATGCTTCTGACTGAGTCTTCTCTACTTTCCGTTCAATATCATCCTGTGATACAAACTAATTACAATTCAAAAGTATTCCTTCTTCATCTAAAGCATGCAAGTCCTCACATAACAGTATTGTGGCAGTTCTCTTCTACATTTACTATTCCCTGTTTAATGGTGCATTTCATCATCCCTCTGCTTCCAACAGATAACAAACGTTTACCAGGAATTTTCACAGCTGTCCTTCTCATAACTAACAATATGAATGTTCAACACGTCCTTCAGACCGCATCCTGGTCTATATGCTCTGCGTTGTTTCTTTATGCAAGTCTGCCAAAGATCTTTACTTATGTTTTATACCATAGAAATAAATTGTCATAACATTCTCACATACATTAGTAACTGGACCTTCCTTTCCTCACTGCACAAAAACAACAGCTTACAAAACTGACTGTAAAGTTTAAAAAATGCTTAATAGCCTGGCTAACAGAGACAGCCTGCAATTTACATGGACCAATCTAGTACTGCAAGATTTCCATGGAGGCCTGAGGGGTCTACATACCACCACCTCAAAGACGATGAAAAAATCCATTTGTGCTGTCCTAAATGCAACAATCCATCCATAGGACTTTTGATATTACTTACTTGCTTGGACATCAAAAATGAAGCCGACATTCAATGGAGAAAATAACAGACAGGCAAATCTATCTGCCCAAGTACTCCTGAAGATACCAGAATCATCTTGGTTTCCTACCAATACCAATCTGAATCACATGAGCACCAACAGCAATTATTTATTTTTCTTTATCCTTCCACAGTGATGGTGTGACAGGATATTTGTGGCTCGTAGAGCCAAACTTGGAAAATAATTGAGAAGATTGCCTTCCTTAAGAACAAATTATTTAATTTCCTAACTGAATGGCTTTCTTCAAATAAAATAAAAAACGAACCCCCTCCTTTTAAAGTTGACATTATTCCTTCTTTTTCTCTATATCGTATACACTTCATTCTGTTCTGTAAATTTATGCAATTCTTGCAAAACTGTTTCACACTGGTATTGTAATTTCTCCTCAGCACAATGGAAGGTACATTTTGATTAGGAAAACTAAAATAAAACCCAGCCAGAAGAATACCTGTGCTGAAGATTTTGAAACAACACAAAAAATAGAAAAGGCATCACAACATCCTCTGAAAACACAAGTAATTTTGAATACCACTCTATTTCAGGAAAATCATAACTAGCAGTTACTACATGACTTTACAGAGTTCTACCAGTCCTGAACCTAGTAATACTGCTAACACAACTACTTCACCTGTTTCATTTTGGAATGATTATCCGACAATCAAAAAACAAAAGATTTCAGAATCTTTTATTGAGAAATTGTTTTTCCTATTTCTAAACAAAAATGGCAAAAGTAAAATGGCTTCATATAATTAATTGTGTGTGGGGGAATGCATTAATTCATTTATTAAAATAATGATCCATAGTATCTTATTAGTATTATTAACTGCTGCTATCCTGAAATACAGGATGCCTCATCACTCATCTTGGGGTTAACTAAGTGATACTAAGTCCAAACGCAAAATGATTCTTTAAAGTTTTTGTGTTTATTTAACCTGCCCAAAGCACAGGATGCTTTCTACTATGCAGTTGACACTTCTAGAAAATATTGATGATTTCACATAGTGATTCTGCACTACAGTACTCTAAAAAAAATTCAATGCATAACATCAGCTGGTATTTCTGTTTAAAATATTTATACACACACACTGACTTGCCGCTTGGAATTAGCAAGACATAACATTAAATATAAACCTAAATTTAACGTCTTTGTAATTATATTGATTTTCAAAATGGTGGTTTAAAAGGGATGCTTTATAAATTCTGTTTGCCTTTGTTTTCAATTAAAAATTCCTAGGAGACTAGAAAATAAAGCAATCCATTTTGAGAGTAAAAGCTCAATCCATTTTGAGAATGCAAAATATGGACAAACCCCAAACGTGACTCCCTCAAAAATGAACCAGAGTGTAAAAAGCAAACTAGACCGGTTGTATGTAAACGTTTAGAGCAATTACCACCCACGTAACAGCACGACTTACCTCTTAAATTCTTAAGGTTTGTTACACAGCTCTCACTAACCTCAGAGCAATCCTCTGCAACACCATCTATTCGATCAGCACTAATTTCCCATCTCCTGCTATCTGACTCAGCAGTACCTACAGGAGCCAAGCGGCAATAGCAGCCCACAGAAAACCTGTGCGGAGCTCACCCGGAGCGCACACGACAGCACAGAGCCCTGCCAGAGAGGCAGTTTTTGTCGAACAGGCGAAACGCGGGCAGCCCGACGGCGCCAGGAGGGTAACGGGACAGCGACACGGGCATCCCCCGCACGCCACCCAGGGCGGCGGTGAAGCACAGCGGCCGCCACTCCCTACGTGCGACGATAGCGACGCCGCCTTTCCGAACAGGCACTCGGGCCCGGAGCCCGCCGCCGGGCACGGCGGACGCGTGTTGCCAGCCCCACGCGCCCCCCCCCCACCCGCAGCCCCGCGGGTCCCCGCTCACCGCCGCGCTGCAGCCGCGCTCCCCGCTCCGTCCCGCCGCGCCCCGGACTGCGCCGCCGGCCCCGCGCCGTCCCGCCGGCCCCGCGCCGCGCCGCGCCCCGCCCCGCCCCGCCCCGCCGCGCAAGGACACGCCGGCGCCGCCATCGCCCGATCGCGCGGCCAATGGCGAGCGCGCGGCACGCCCCGCCCGCGCGCGTCACCCGCCGAATCGCCGCGGCAACGGCCCGGCGAGCGCCGCGCGGCCCCACGCGCCATCAGGAGCGGCGAACACGCCATCGCGCCATCGGCCGCCCGCCAATGGGGCGCCGCGCTCCCCGCCCTGCGCCCTCTGATTGGGCGGCTTGGGAAGCGCTGCCGCCACCTCCCGGGCCCGCCCCGGGCCGCGCTCAGGGCGCGCCCCGCCGCCGCGCTCGGGCTGGGGGCGAGTCTGGGTCTGGGGACAAAGCCAGAGCCAGAGCGAGCTCCCCTGCACGCCTCCGATACCGCCCGGTTTTACCGCGCTTTGCTGAGGCATGGAAAGCGTGTACATTCCCAGCTCCTGTTTTTGGGAAACAACGGTGCCCCTGACTCCCTGGGGAAGTGGTGGGAGGAAGGCAAAGGCAAAGTAATATATTTATATTTGTGGCTTTCGGCAAGAGAGGAAGTGCAGGTTTTGGTTCACGAAGCATAGGAAGCTCTGAGAGACCCACCAGGAGGCGTTGGTGTGTAATCTGTGCTAGGTGGTCTTTAGATGGTCTCCCGAGGTCCATTCCATCTCTAGCGATTGTGTGGTTCTCCTGGGCACCGAGTCACGGGGCTGTAAAACAGCACTGCAGAGTGGCAGGGGCCGTTCCGTGTTCCTGGGGCTGAGCATGTTCAACTGCAATACAAATACCTGCAGCGGTTTGGCGGTGCATGATCTGCGCCCCGGCTTTCCCCAGACTCTGTCTTACATGTGCCACCTCACTTGGAAATATTTCTAGTAGCTCCACATGGCACTGGGCCCTGAAACATTAATGTGAACCTCAAAAAAGGAAGTGCTGATGAAAAGGTTTCCGAAGAACTCCACCCAAAGTATTTGTGAGTGATGAAATCGTGCCATCTCTTTTGACCTGTAAATACGCTTTTCATTCTCGTCTCCGGTATGATGTTCCTAAATCTTAATAATTTACTGCTGCATATCCATCTCCCCTGATAGCTTCTTTAGTGTTTTTTTCAGTATCTCACCTTCATTAGCTGAAAAGTGTAAAGTATTAGCAATGAGATTTCTGGACTCTTTAATATGTGCACCAATTGCTGTAACTGCATATGCATATGACTAAGCCAAAGCAAAACAGCAATTCATACAGTTTCAACAATTATATGCAATTCACATATCATTTAAGATGTCCTTTCGTATTTCTGCTCTGTTTCCCACTTTTTCCATACACGTGATTTAGCAAATAATAAAAATTCTATTTCACCAAGGTCACTGGGAGCAGGCATCACTACGGTGATTTGGGGTCTGTAGACTCTACGAGTACATGTTACCACCTGTGCTGACATTGAATTCTCACATCTGCAGCTCTGGCGGTGGCCTGCCTCCAGCCTGGCCATGTGCTGGAGTGGCCTTGGGGGCAGCGCTGCCCCCCTGCCCAGGAGATGGCAGGCAAAGCTGAGCGAGAGCAGCTCTGCCTGAGGAAAACCTTGTTGTAATTGGCAGACGACCACTGAAGAGTGCTACTGCAAATGCTGAAAATACTGTCAACTAATAATTTGGTTATCTCAAACTTGTTCCCGCTCATGAGGACACAAACCATTCCTTGGTAGCAATGAAGTAAGCTACTTAACCATGGCAGAGAAGTGTTGCCATCTCTAAACACAGATGCAGAGCGTAGTTTAGAAAGGAGACATTGCTTATTCTGTGCAGGGTACATGGTGAAGTTTTCCACAGATAAAGCAAGCCAATCCTTGAAAATTTGCAATAAATATATATATATATATATATAAAAGAAACATATAAATCACAGATAATTTGGGTACAAGTTACTTAGTTCTCTTTTTAATTAGTATTCTACCTTGAATAAATTGAATGATTCTCTTGTTTCTCATGCTAATGTTTCTGCATGCTCACCATTTTCAAGTAGGTGGGTTTCTTGAGATGGTAGTTCGTGAGTTACTGGTCGAAATCTCTCACTGTGAGACTTAAGAGCCCGTGAATTGGCACTGATCCATCGCATACAAACTGCACCTGCAGCACCAGCCAGGTGACAAGAGGCACAGCAGTAGCCAACAACTCAACAGGAACTCTCAGGACCTGTAGTAACAGTACAAGGAGAAATGGGTACAAATTGATGGAAGGGGAATTTAGGTTAAACATTAGGAAGAAAGAGTTCCTGTGAGGGTGGTGAGACATTGGAACAGGTTGCCCAGGGAGGCTGTGGATGCTCCAACGCTGGCTGTGTTCAAAGCCAGGCTGGACAAGGCCCTGAGCAACCTGTTCTAGTGGGAGGTGTCCCTGCCCATGGCAGAGGGGATTGAGCCTAGATGAATTTTAAGGTCCCTTCCAACCCCTTAACATTCTCAGATTCTAAGACCCCAGACTATACAGTCAAAGCCCAATTAATCCTTCATTCAGAGTCCCCGCTTTGAGGCTGTCTGGCCTTTTTGACTGATAAGACACCGTTTCACAACCCCCTTTTCACTCTCTGTAACTCTCTGGGCAAGTGACAGTTTCTGACTCTTGAGATCCCAACGTCAGAAGCGCACACACTCGGAGAAGTGAGTCCCATCTGATCACACACAGCACGATGTGTGCTGGGACTGCGGTTCTGGCGAGCTTGGTGCCACCCGAGGGGCAGAGAGGGCCCGGCCACAAGATGGCGGCCGCCGCTGAGGCGGGAGGGCGACTGCCTGAGGAGGTGCCGGCGGAGCGGAGCGGCCGCACCATGGAGCGCCGCGGGAGCGGCGGCGACAGCGACACGGACAGCGACGAGACTGTCGTGGAGGGCTCTGTGCCGGAGAGCGATGTAGAGGAAGAGGAGTTCCGTAGGAGGAGGTGGTAACGCGGTGTGGCTGGGAGCGGCACCTGCTCACCTACGTGTGTGAGGGTGGCGGCAGCTGAGGGGGCCGCTCCCGAGCTGAGAGTCTTCTCTCTTCTCTTTTCTCTTCTCTTCTCTTCTCTTCTCTTCTCTTCTCTTCTCTTCTCTTCTCTTCTCTTCTCTTCTCTTCTCTTCTCTCCCTCTCCCTCTCCCTCTCCCTCTCCCCTTCTTTTTTATTTGTTTTCTTTTGTTTTTTGTTTTCTCCGCTCTGTTCAGAGCCGTTTTATATGCTCCTGGACCCAGCATTTCGTAGCTCTGCAAATAGCTCCGTCTATTCTCATACACCTGTTGTGCCTCGGGGCTTATGTCGCCGGACCCACCATTTTATTAACATTTTAGTCAGAAGAAGTGAAATGTCCCAGAAAACAACTCTGAGAAAATAAGCACTATTAAATGCAGTTTGTGCTAATTCTATTTCCTTGCAACTTTGCCTTGATGTCATTTTCATGGCATTATCTCTTGTATCCTTTAAGAAGTGGCAAGGATTTGAAACCACACGCAGACCTTTATGATGGCTTTGTGACACGGTAGTTCTTGGAAATACTTGAAGCAGCGAGGTGCCTCCCTAGTTATGGTTTTCTATGCAGAAAATCACATTACATGCCTTGAGTTTGGGGTTTTTTACTGTTTGTGTCAGAGTTCTCCTAGGTGTGTCCCCACGGCAGAGGTTGGGACGGGTGCTCGGAGATGCCCTTTGAGTTTATAGGACTGTAATGCTTGAAGCTCCTTAACGACCTTTTGTTTTATTTGTTTTGCAAAGGTTGGCTTTTCTTAACAAGAATATTGCTTTAACAACTGAGATAAGTATCAGTAAAGGTACGACAGATTCTTTTTTCAGTCTGTGTTTAAACTGTTGCTTTGGATTTTGCTTGAGTCCATGTTTAAACTTGGGTGTTGCATGAAGTTCATATTTAGAACTGTGTGCTCTTTGATTATATTCCTAATTCCTAATTAAAATCATATTTTAAAAGATTCTTCAGCATATTTTTAGTATTTGATCAGGTTTGCTCTTGAGTTCTCTGTGTTCTTCCTGTGCACTGTGACTGAGAATCCCTGGTTTGAGAAGTGTTGGAGCTATATATAGAGATATTGCTTTTATTTATATGAATGCATTTTTGTGTATGTGTTTGTGCAGAATAAAATAAATGGATTCTATATGCATAACAGTTGTATGTAACTCTAGCTGCTTATGGCATTTTTAAAACCCCAGTAATATTGTTAGTATATCTGTTCTCTTTAACATAAAAACTGTGAGTTTCTTTTTAACATAAAAAGTTTGAGTAGGGATATTTCAGTGCATTGTGTTTAGTGTATCATTAAATACTTTCAGCATGAATGAATGCACACTCATTTAAGATCTTAAAATATTCCATAATAACTCCTGTAGAGCAGGCTACATGAGCAAGCATATTTTAGTGACATAATAGTTTAATATTACTTCCTTGACATTTTTATATGTTCCATTTGACTTGCATCCTATAGGTTTTATTTCAGTGATATTTCAGACTGGGAATACTTTAAATGACATATGGTGTTCTTCTAGATTTGGTTGTGTTCCTCTTTTTGCCAGTTTGAAGATCTGAGCAAGCCATAATTTTTTATCAACCTGCCCTGAGTTAATACAAATCTTACTTTCAGCCCATTGAAATCTGCCAAAACTCCAATGGCTGTGATTTCCTAATGCTGAACCTTTTATAGTCGCTTAATGATCTTAATTAAAGAGGGCAGAATCATCTCATT